TGTAAATGCAAATGCCGCGGGGGATATTTAAATCCCCCGCGGATTTTGCTATTCCGATGTGTCTAATCTGCATCCCTTTTCCAGAAAAGGGGTGCAGTGTAGACACAGCCAAAGGGAAATAAGAAGACATTCTACAAATATATTAGAAGCACGAGAGAGACCAAGGACAGGGTAGACCCAGTGCTCAGACCAAACATGGCAGGGGAAAAATGTCCCTGAGGGCCTTCCATCTGAGAAAAACAGAAAATACCAGACATGTCCAGCATTCTCTGATTTTTTAAACTGGACAGAAGACGCAATTACCGGACTGTCCAGTAAAAACCGGACACCTGGCAACCCTAACCCCATTTCTCTTAGCCTGCTTTTCTGCTGTGACCAGTTCTTTCTACTACTGAGATTTCCCAATTTCTTCCTCAGAGAGAGGGTGAGTTGTATCTGGATCTATAAGGGCTTCCCTTCCAAGGTATCTGATCTTTTAGGTATCATCATTGAAAAGTTATGGAAGTCAGGAGAGATTCCAGGAGACTGGGAAAAGGGCAAATATAATGCCTACCTATAAAAAGGGAAATAAGAACAATCCAGGAAACTACAGACCAGTCATTTTACTTCTGTGACAAGGAAGATAATGGAGCCAGTAATTAAGGAATTCATCTGCAAACATCTGGACAAAAATAAGGTGATAGGTAACAGCCAGCATGGAATTGTAAAGAACAAATCTTGTCATACCAATCTGATAGCTTTCTTGGATAGGATATCAAGCCTTGTGGATAAGGGAGAAGCAATGGATGTGGTATACCTAGCATTTGACACGGTCTCATGTGACGTTCTTATCAATAAATTAGGAAAATACAAACTAAATGGGGCTACTTAAAGTGGGTGCATACCTGACTGGATAACTGTTCTCAGAGAATAGTTATTAATAGTTCACAATCCTGCTGGAAGGGCATAACAAGTGAGGTTCCACAGGGGTCATTTTAATGACTGGTTCTGTTCAGTATCTTCATCAATGATTTAGATTATAGTATAAAGAGTATGATTATTAAATTTGCAGATGATACCAAGCTGGGAGGGATTGCAAGTGCTTTGGAGGATAAGGTCATAATTCAAAATTATTTGGACAAACTGGAGAAATGGTCTGAGATAAATAGGATGAAGTTTAATAAGGACAAATGCAAAGTACTCCACTTAGGAAGGAACAATCCATTTCACACATACAGAATGGGAAGTGATAGTCTAGGAAGGAGTCATGCAGAAAGGGATACATGATTGAGGAGGTATCTGAGCTGTTAGTTGTCATCTTTGAAAAGTCATAGAAGATGGGAGAGATGGCAAATGTAGTGCCCATCTAGACAAAAGGAACCAAGGACAACCTAGGAAACTACAGTCCAGTCAGCTTAACTTTTGTGCCAGGAAAGATAATGGAGCAAATAATTAAGGAATCCATCCGCAAACATCTGGAAGATAAAAAGGTGATAAGTAAGAGCATGGGTTTATAAAAAACAAATCATGTCAAACCAAGCTCATAGCTTTCTTTGATAGAATAACAAACCTTGTGGATAAAGGGGAAGCGGTACACATGGTATACCTAGGCTTCAGTAAATCATTTGATATAGTCTCTCCTGACCTTCTTATAGAAAAACTAGGGAAATAAAACCTGGATGGAGCAACTATAAGGTGGGGGCATAACTGGTTGGATAACTGTTCTCAGATAGTAATCACAGTCATGGTGGAAAGTCATTACAAATGGGGTTCCTCAGGGCAGTGTTCCCTCTAAGCTGGGCAGAAGCACTGCTTCACAGGTGATTAATTAGCCCCACCCAGTCAGTCAACTCCGACCCTCTGACTGATTAATCACCTGTGAAGTTGTGCTGTTGCCCAGCTTAGAGGGATCAATCTGGAGACCAATTCTGTTCAATATCTTCATCAAAGATTTAGATAATGGCATAGAGTTTGTGCATGATACCAAAGTGGGAGGGATTCCAAGTATTGTGGAGGATAGGGTTATAATTCAAAATGATCTTGACAAGCTGGAGAAATGGTCTGAGGTAAAGAAGATAAAATGTAATAAGGACAAATGCAAAATATTCCGTGTTGGGAGGGACAAACAGTTTCACACATACAGAATGGGAAGTGACTGTCTAGGAAGGAGTAATGGAGAATAGGATCTAGGGGTTATAGTGAACCACAAGCTAAATATGAGTCAACTGTGTGACACTATATTACAAAAAAAGCAAACATGATTCTGGGAGGCATTAACAGGAGTGTTGTGAGCAAGACACGAGAAGTCATTCTTCTGCTCGCCCTGCACTGATTAGGCCTCAGTTGGAGCATTGTGTCCAGTTCGGGGCACCACATTTCAAAAAAGATGTGGGGAAATTGGAGAAGGTCCAGAGAAGAGCAACAACAATGATTAAAGGCCTAGAACACATGATCTATGAAGGAAGACTGAAATAATTAAGCTTATTTAGTTTACAAAAGAGAAGACTGAGAGGGGACGTGATAGCAGTTTTCAAGTATCTAAAAGGGTGTTACAAGGAGGAAAGAGAAAAATTGTTCTCCTTGGCCTCTGATGATAGGACAGGATATAATGGGCTTAAATTGCAGTAAGGGAGGTTTAGGTTGGATGTTAGGTAAAAATTCCTGTCAGGATGGTTAAACCCTGGAATAAATTGCCTAGGGAGGTTGTGGAATCTCCATTACTGGAGATATTTAAGAGCAGGTTGGATAGACATCTGTCAGGGATGATCTATCTAGACAGTGCTTGGTCCTGCCATGAGGGCAGGGGGATGGACTTGATGGTCTCTCAAGGTCCTTTCCAGTTCTAGTATTCTATGAAAACTTCACATCCAAAGATCACAAGGCACTTTACAGAGTTCCAAAATGCTCATTGTACAGGTGTGAAAACTGAAGCACGGAAGCCACATTTTCAAAGGTGATTATTGATTTGGGGTGGCTTTGTATTTAGGTATCCAATTTGAGATAATTTAAGAGGCCCTGATTTTCAGAAAGTACTGAGCATCCACTCTCTAAAAAGCAGGTCCCTTTAAGAGGACTCAAGTTGGGCCTCTGTTAAACAGTAAGGCCTTTAGAAAATGTTGGCCATATTTTGTAGTGTACCAATGACTTGTCCAAGGTCAAAAATCATAATGTCCATGGCACAGCCAAGAAAAAAGACCGTGGGGTAAAGTTTGCAAAAAGTCTGAAGGCATTTAGGAGCCTAAATCCTACTGAAAGTCAATGAGATTTAAGCTCCTAGATCATTAAAGCCCTTTTTCAAAATTTTACATCCAAATTCTTGATTCCGAGTTTAATAGAAAGTGAAATTATTGTATTACACAGATCATTACAGCCAACACACACCAATCAACAATAGCCGGTGGGAAACTGGAAGTAAAGATATCATGGACAAGATAGACAGTTAAAGGGGGAAAATTGTTTATATTGTACGTGGTCATGAAAACCATCAAACGGGCTGCTGTGTTTCACAAAATCTAGATATGAAATTTTATATCAGTTGGCTTCACAGCACAGATTAAGTGTAACATAAATCAGGATGTTTTGCCAACCAAAGAATAAATTAATTTCGTTCTGCATGTGTGGATGTCATGACAATTTATTTACCTCAATATGTCGTCATTGTTTTCAAAGGAAATAAAACTTTCTGTAAAAAAGCAGAGAGAATAATTGCCTTTGCCATCCCCCACTGAAAACTACATTAAGGCTATGTCTGTTCATCAGTCCATTGTAGGGTTTTCTGTATTTCTATCACCATGGTATTTAAGCATTTTAGATGTTATTCAACTGTAGGCAGTCCCCGGGTTACATGGATCCGACTTACATCGGATCCCTACTTACAAACGGGTGAGGCAACCCCGCACTTGCTGCTTCCCCCCAGCAGACCAGGGAGACGCAGAGCGGCTTTTCTCAGCAGACACCTCAGCTTGAGAATAAAGGATTGAGGGAAGTGAGGTGGGAGAATAAAACTGAGCTCTGGAGAAATGTTTGGCTAGAGTTTCCCCTACAATATGTACCAGTTCCGACTTACATACAAATTCAACTTAAGAACAAACCTACAGTCCCTATCTTGTACGGAACCCGGGGACTGCCTGTATCTATTTATGTGGTCTCTATCTCGCTAGTGTATGAAGGAACACCTGGCGTATTGGGTCTTGTAAGGCAAGGTCTCAGGTAGACTCTCTGGCCATGTCTACACTGAAAGGTTTTTGTGCAAAAATGGCTGTTTTTGCGCAAAAACCTGCAGAGTGTCCACACCTCAAATGTGCTTTTGCACAAGTAAATCTGCAGTAAACAGCAGAACAAAGGGCTTTTTCTGGTGTAGCAGCAGAACAAATGGCTTTTTCTGGTGTAGGTAAACCTCCTTTTATGAGGTGTAAGTCCTTTTTGTGCTACAGATGTTGCACAAAAAAGGCATGTGTGGATTCTCCGCAGGAGTTTGTTGTGCAAATGGAGCCTATCCGAAAAAACACAGATGCGAATGGCCATCAGCACTTTCTTGCGCAAGAACGTCCATGCAGTGTGGATGCTCTCTTGTGCAAAAGAGATGCACTTTGAGGTGTGGCTGTGCTTTTGCACAAGAAGTTTTTGTGCAAGAACTCTTCTGCAAAAGACTTCTTGCACAAAACCATTGCAGTGTAGACATAGCCTCTGAGTGTTTTGGTTTTCTCCATTCCCCTACTGAGGAGACAAAATTATTTTTTTAAAGTACATGCCAGTCTGTGTAATGGATGCAGTTTTATTTCCACCTATTTGGGGAAGCCCTGCAAAATTCACTAGTAGCCACTTAGATTCATAGAATCATAGGGTTGGAAGAGACCTCAGGAGGTCATTGAGTCCAACTGCTTGCTAGAAGCAGGACAAACCCCAACAAATCACCCCTGGCAGGGCTTTGTCAAGCCGTGACTTAAAACCTCTAGGGATGGAAATTCTACCACCTCCTAGGTAACCCATTCCAGTGCGTCACCACCCTTGACAGTAAGCAATAATTATTATATATTATTTGTATTAGCACAGTGTGGAGGAGTTCTAGTTAGTGCTTGGCACTGTACAAACACAAAACGAAAGATGGTCCTTGCCCCCAAAGAGGTTACAATAATGACATACTCTCAGACATGGTACCAAAACATTTTCACCACACCCTTCACTATCCCATTGTTTAAAACTTGCATGTTTTCAATCAACTGTGCCCCAGACATACCGGCAGAATCCTTGTATGTGTGTAAAAAGAGCCCTTCTCCAGGCAGGATGTAGAAAGGGTTAACCTAGTTTTGCCTAACTTCAGAATCCACTGGAACTGTCTTGGTTGGAAGCTTGGATGCAGCATTGGTTCATCGTCAGCTTGGAGTGGTTCTGCTCATTGGGGAAAGAGGGAGGAAATAGAGAACAGGCAAAGTGAAAAACAATCTCAAAAAGCATCTGAAATGAGTGGGTGGGAGAGGGGAGAAATATTATGAAAATGTATGTTTTATTCATTCATTATGTCTTCCCTAAGCAAGGGAGACAGAATCTCCCAGCTCTTTTATAAGATAGAACTATGTTTTACCCCTTGTGCCGCTCTGGTTGGTGTGTGTGTGTGTGTGTGTGTGTTATGGGGATGAATAGGGGTGCTAATAGGAGCTAGAAATATACAGCTGGGTTTTTAAAAGCTTAAGTGACTTGGAAGGATGTATCCCATTGAAAATCCCATGCATATTTTTTTCATGGCTGCTTTCGGAGTTGTATATCCCATTGAAAATCAACAGGATTTGTGATCTTTAGTTAAGTGCTTTTGAAAATCCCATGCATATTTTTTTTTCATGGCTGCTTTCGGAGTTGTCACTGCCTCACTGTCACTGTGCATTCTACCCCCACACTGCTCTGAAAGGTTCTGGGCTTTCTTGAGTATTTCACTCAGCCTCTGTTAAACAACAAACACCCCCACACAGAGCAGGGGCCTAGAAAACTGGCACTTGGAAGATAGCTTTGAAGCTGACCAACAAGACAAGTGCAGAAGACGGAGTCCAGCAACCCCCAAAAAACGCCTTCTTCTAAGATGGGGAGGAAATGTTTAAGGGTAATATCAGACCATAAATGGAATCTTTCACTTGGCAAAAGCTAAAAGGTCAGAGAAAATGAACTCTCCATGAAAGCCAAACCCAGCTAGGCAGAGTGAGTGCAGTGAACTTTTAAAAGTAAACAATCTACATGGAAACTAAGCATTACTGCAAAATGCTGTCACTCCTCTCTGCCTGGACCTATATCAGCTGTATCCAGTAGCCCCATCATTGCCCTTTGTCTGTTCAATCGCATATAGGAGGTGGGAATCTCCACCACTTTCACTCTCCGTTCTTCCGGGGAGGCCCGGAAGAAGAGAAAATTAAACTGGCCCAAGGTAGGGGCTATTTTGTTTGTGCACACCAGGGGGCCATAGGTAGGGAGCAGCTCCATGATCCTGGAAGGGATGGGGCCTCAGGCAGAAGGGGCGGGGCGGGGCAGGGTAGCCAGTCCCGTGCGCCGCCCAATCAGTGTTGCTCTCCTGTCATCACCAGCCTTCTGAGCTGTCCAGCACTCCAGTGGCAATTTAAAAGGCCCAGGAGCCGGGGCTGGGCCCTGGGCAGTTGTCCTCTTTGTCCCCCCCCCCCTGTCAGTGAGCACACAGATTGTGTGACTCGGAGGGAGGGGTGAGTCACTGAAATCCATGTAAGAAATTTAACTGCCAGCAGGGGTCACCATAAGCAGTGTAACACAGAAGAGGTGCAGGGGCAAACACCCCAGCTCATAATTAACTTTTTGTTAAAACACCAATTAAGCCTTTCTTAACCCTTTATCAACTATTTATGAACCTACCCGTAATATAAATGGAATATGAACCAAAATCCTAATGCTCTTTTCTAAACATAGCCATAATGAAATGCATTGCAAAGCATATGCAGAACAATTCATAGAAGGCCCTCTAGATGGATGGTCTAAGATTTCTTGGGTTGTCATGCAAATGCATCTTTTGTTTCCAAATTAGGTTAAACCTTTAAAAAGGATCTTGCCCATAGATTATGTTGGATCTGGACACACTATTTGCGTTGAATAAATTATTTGATGAATCTAGCTGGGGGGTTTTCTGTTCTGCAATATTCATGAATTTCTCCCTTATTCATAACTGTTTGACAAATAGTTTGTGCAGACTAACTGTAGACCCGTGGTCCCCATGGCGCCCGCGGAGGCATTCGTGTGTGCCCGCCACGTGCTCGGGGCTGGCCTGGCCCTGGGCACGTGGCGCATGCACAGTGCCGGAGCCGGCTCCAGGCACATGGTGAGCGCCGGCCCCAGCCCCGGGCGCTTGGAGGAGGAGGAGGGGGGGCGCCGCCCCCGGCGCTTGGAGGAGGGGGGTGCCGGCCCCAGGGGCGCGGCTATGGGGGGGCCCCGCCCCCTGGCGCCCGGCAACCTCCACCGGTTGGGGCCATTGGGTTAGACCTATCAAACCCTACATTTCTCTTGGCTACCTGAGAGATTGTCGTCGCCTTGTGTGCTACAGCAGCCTTTGACAGAGCAGCCTGAAGGAGGAACAAAGCCAAAGGCTAGGTATGTTCACTCCTTGAGATTGGAACTTGATTCTTCTTAGGTTGCAAAAGCCTGAGTCAAAAGTAGCAGGCTGCTAGGCCTCACTGTTCTCCCAGGTTTGGTGGAAGGAGCTGGGCTAGGGGTAGACTATCTGGAGTGTTCTCTGAATAGTCTCAGTATTTGCAATTTGTTACTAACGCACATGCTTGGACAATTTGGGCATGTCTAAACTGTAACAGAAGACCAGTGGTTGACCCCGGTCAGCTGGCTCGGGGATTTTTTGGCAGAAGATATGCAAATCACATTTTTATTTGCATATCTTCTGCGGATCCTTTTTGCGGAAGAGGTTTTGACAATAAAAAGCCCTGTATAGATGGGGCCATTTGTTGGGGGGAAAAAAACCCTTTTTCGCAAGATCCTATAAACCTCATTTTTTGAGGAATAAGGGATCTTGCGAAAAAGGTGGTTTTTTTCCTGACAAATAGCCCTGTCTACATGGGGCTTTTTATTGGCAAAACCTCTTCCACAAAAAGGATCAGCAGAAGATATGTAAATGAGAGCACGATTTGCATACTTTTGCCAAAAAAACCTCAGTGTAGACATAGCACAAATGTCTACAGCCTGAGGCTCCGGAAGGAGCCCTGACTGTGTAGGTAGAGTGGAATAAGAACCTCACAATAAAGAAACTACAAAAAAGCACATTGGTTGAGTTGGGGCCTGCTCCTGACTTCCTTGCGAGTTGCAGAATCTGCGCAAGAATGCGTATTGGGTCTCTGGAACATTTTGGCAAGAGGGATCAGTCCCGCAGACAGGGGGAGGCAAAGGGGACAACTACCCTGGGTTCTGAAGCTCCTGGCTGTCACAGCCCTGGCCCTTTAAATTGCTGGTGGAGCACTGCGCCATGCACTCTGGGCAATGCTAGGAGCTACCTGGGGCTCTCTGAGCAGTGCTGAGAACTACCTAGCCCTAGCCCCTTCTTGGGGCATAGAGCACGGACCCTGCCAGGTTGTCAGTCCCACAGAGAAGGACAAAAGTGTAGTGCTTTAATTCAATGGCAAAACTCACGTTGATTTCACTGAGACCAATATCTAGCATAGAGAGCTGTCAAGTGGCAAGCATGAAGGAACATCTACCCTCCGCTAATTGAAAAGCTAACAGTAACTGACATTAACTGGGATGCATATGGACACTGTCAACTCAAAAAAAGCTCCTTATTTACCACAAGGATTGTTCATTTGTCTGGACAGAAAACTTGCCACAGTCCAATTTATTCTGCATGATAAAAACTGAACATTAACGGAAGCTGTGGGCAATGGACTTTACCCTCAAGTTATTTTTATTTTTAAAAGCCCCAGTTATGCAAGGAAAATCTGTGCATGAGCTTGAAATCTTGGCTTCAGGACAGGGTCAAATTCTGCTCTGAGGTGTAAATCCTTTGCTGATTTCAGCTAAGTTACTCTTCTTCATTGAAGCCAACACAATTACTCTTGATTTACACCTACTAACAGAGATATTATATAGTCTTCAGTCACTTAATGAGTAAAACCACTGGATCTTTCCACTACTTACTGCACCCTGCCATCCTCCGTTCACTGCAGCAAAGCTGTGAAAATACTGTCTCTGCTACTTATGTTCCATTTTTTATGTCCTCTCCAGATTTACCCTCCTTTTCTTCTGCAAGGGAGTGGCTATTATCAATGCTTTTAGATGTTCCCTTCCTACTGGTTTGTCTAGCTGTGAATCACTCTGTGACACTGTGCATGAAAATACTATAGGTAAACAAATTGTATGACTGTTTTGATACATCTGCTGCCCTGATCCAAGACCTGAAGGCAGTACTGTAATTTAGTCATACAGTTCAGTTACATAACAATAAGAAGGCCTAACCTTTATACAGGGTTTGTATCAGTAGATCTCAAAGTGCTATATAAAGAAAGGCAACATCATTGCCCCCATTTTTCAGATGGGGAAACTGAGGCACAAAGTAGTGTCTCACCCAAAAAGTTGGCAGCAGAACCAGGAGTAGAACCTCACTCTCCTTAAGGTCACATTGTTACTCTGCCCTGTAGACCATACTACCTTATAGGATGTTGATCGCCACAATTCTCAGTTGTTTTCCTGGCATTTTTTATAGTGGCTTACATTGTCTAAGAATCTCAAAGTGCTTTATAAACTGTTCTTGCATCAGTCATTCACCCACTTCTGAAATGCAGACACCTTCAGGGTGAGCTAGTGATTGTTTAATTGCACACAGCATGCTGTGCATCTGGATGGAGCATGTATTGACGAATTCTTCACCCAGTTGAAACCAAAGAAAGACCCATTGGCTACGTCTACACTGGCATGATTTTCCGAAAATGCTTTTAACGGAAAAGTTTTCTGTTAAAAGCATTTTTGGAAAAGCACGTCTAGATTGGCAGGATGCTTTTCTGCAAAAGCACTTTTTGCGGAAAAGCATCTGTGGCCAATCTAGACGCGGTTTTCCACCCTCTGCCCACTAAATGGCTGTGTCTAGACTGGCAAGTTTTTCCCGCAAAAATCAGATGATTTTGCGGAAAAACTTGCTAGCTGTCTACACTGCCCTCTTGAATTTCCGGAAAAGCACTGACGATCTTACATGAGATCGTCAGTGCTTTTCCGGAAATTCAAGAGGGCAGTGTAGACAGCTAGCAAGTTTTTCCGCAAAATCATCTGATTTTTGCGGGAAAAACTTGCCAGTCTAGACACAGCCATTTAGTGGGCAGAGGGTAAATGCTCTGATTAGAATTCATCCAGGACACCATGATTAATAATCCTAGTGCTTGTGAAGAGTGTGG